CGCAACAGGAAGCTGAAGAAGTTTATGTTTGATAGTTTTTATTTTCTCTGCGTATAATTCGGGGAAGGTCTGTGTCTGCATGCATGTGTATCCAGGTTCCTGTGTGTGCCTATAGCTCTGGAAAAGCTGGCTTTTCCAGGAAGCAGAAAAGGACTGAACATCGTTGTTTGCGTAGTAATGGAGAGCACTGGCCAGCAAATCAGAGGGATTCCACGTAGTATTAATCACTCCTTTCCTCACAACATTCTTTTTTCTCTGGATTTTAAAATGATTATTATCATTATTTTTTATGGAAGTGTGGTGGCTGATGTGCAATATTATGTGTTACAGGCGTACAACAGAGTGGTTCATAATTTTTAATGGTTATACTCCATTTATAGTTGTTAGAAAATATTGGCTATATTCCTCTCTTCTCTGGATTTGTAAGATACGATATGACCTACCCCCAACTTATCTCCATCTCTTGCCCCACCGTCTAGGAGATGGAGAGACCTTCTCCCAGACATGGTCAGAGCTCATCTCCAACTCAGTTCTCAAATTAATTAACTCTGCAAGGAATTACACAGGTAGAGTTTTACATTGCCAGTTTACAGAACCTATCTGTGTAAAATATATTTCTTGATTTCCACATCGATCAGAATATCCTTTTCTCATCCCAGTTCCATCATTAACTCTAACTTTAGAAATCGAGGGTTTTTTTTCTTTTTCCTGAAGGCTTTATTTTCCTCATCTGTAAAATGGGATATTTAAACTTCCTTAGAATGTAGCTTTCACGTTTACTTGAATTATCCTGGGAAACTTGTCACTCAATTCATACTGGAAAAGTAAAGCCAAGGATCTTAGGAGGTTTCTGAACAGTGTAGGTGTTAGTGTCTGTCCCTCCCCATGAGGGCGTCTGCACCCCCTTCCCTCCCCTCCCCCCTCGCACTCCCACAGTCACTCACAGCTCACTTCCATTGTGTCTCTGAACCGTCCCTGCGTCTCCACTGTCGGCTCAGGCTGACATCATTGTCTATGGACTAACGCTGTGTCTGAATGGGTCTCCTGCTACCAGTTTGCATCCCAGCTCAGCCCTTCCTCCATCTTGTCCATCATTAATTATCTTGCTACAAAAGCAAATTTTCCCACTTCAGTCCTTGGCTAAAAATCTCCACTAGCCCACAGGGCTCTCAAGATAAAGCCGGAGTTCCTCAACTTGTCAGGGTCCTTCCCTCTCCTGCCCTATCCTGCCCCAGCCTCGGTCCTGCTCTGTCTCCCAGAGGCCTCCTCATACTGCTCTCCAGCCCCACTGACCTGGACATTGACCTGGACACTGACCCCAGCGCTGACCCTGGACACTGACCCAGAAACTGACTATAGACACTGACAGGACACTGATACCCTTTCACCTCTCCGTGACCTTGCAGAGCTGCTCTCTGCCGGGTGTGTCCTTCCTGCAGGGTCAGCACCGTGCAACCCTGCACACACTTGTTTCAGCGTTGAGAGGGACGGACAGAACGGGGCCAGGAAGAGAATTTAAAAAGCTGAAAAAGGAGAACAACAGGGTTTTGGGACCTGCTTTAACCCACTGATTCTATCCTTAGAGGATCCCTCCCAGAGGTTTCCTTGTTAGGAGTCGGCCTTGGAGTCCAGGGCTTCCATCCAGTCTGATCTGAGCAAAGTCCCTGAACCAGAAAGTCTGGGACTTTCTAAAAGGCAGCTCCCTGCGTCTCAAGAAGCCTTTCTGGAGGGCAAGTCACCCTACATTTCGAGAACCGCTGACGTGAAGCAGTCATGCAGCACAGGTGAGGAGCTCTGATTGGAAGGGCCGCCCCTCAGGGCTCTGTGGGCCACATGGGAGGGGTCTCGGTTTCTCTGGAATATTCCCACCTTAGGAAAGAACCACCAGACAAAGCAAGCTTCGTGGTATGGAAGCTATGGAAATATGTAGACTATGTAAGTAAATGCAAATTCCCTTTTGCTCGGGTTGCCAGAGTTAGTAAATAAAAATCCAGGATGCCCAACACATTTAAATTCCAGATAAACAACGTGTAACTTTTAATTATGCATAGCACATACTTATATTAAAAAATTATTTGCTATTTATCTGAAATTCAGATCGAACTGGGCATCTTATTTTTGTTCTGTTTTTATCTGGCACCCTATTTTTGGTCCATACACGTTCGGTACTTAAGGAAAATAGCCCGATCAGAATTTGGAGACTAAACAGTGAAAGTAAGTTTTCACAGTTTATTTTCTTTTTAATGGGGAGGTACATGGTTTGGCAGGGAAAAAAAAAGGATGGCTGCGCTTTCTGGCTCATTGGATTATTTGTAAAATCTACATTTGGGAGAGAAAGAGAAGTAGAGAGACAGAGAGAGAAACAGATGGTGGTTGAAAATGGCCCATGTTCCAGAAAGTTCCTCCCCTCTGTTGAGAAAACTGAGCACCTACTATGGTCCACACCCTGGATCCACACCCCCGACAACAGAAATGAGGGGCAGCTTCAGGGAGACTGCGTCCCCTCCCCTCCAGGCTGCGCCTCCTGACAGCTTTTCTACAGCTACTCCCCACCCCCTTACCTGTCCCAGGTGGCAGGATGCCACCTCAGAGGGCGGGGCTGTGGTTCAAAGACTGGGGGATGAGTGACAGGCATCCTAACGGGATGCAGCTGAGGGAGCCGCTTGCTGACAGAACAATTTGCTGGTGCCCAGAATATCTGCCCAGCTCGGCGAAGCGGAAGCCCGGGCGTCAGGAGAAATTTCAGGATTTTATCATTCGCCGGGGAGTCAGGTTTTCTGGGAGCCGCACACTTCCCACGGCACTTTTCCAGACCTGCAGCCTTGACACGCTACCCACAGAGGCTTCCAGAGCCCCAGGAATAACAGGCGAAAGTATTCCCTTTTTCTCCCTCCTGATCCGCTGGTGTTTATGTAAATGACGGAAAAAGCAGTTTTCGGCTTATTTCCGAAGCTTAAAGGCTTCGTGAGAAGCCTGTTATTGAAAAATCAGAAACTGCAAAGCAACTTCTTAAACAATGAATTAGCAGCTCAAGGAGCGCTTGTAAGGCCAAGCGCTGGTAACTGGCTGCCTTGCAAATAGGAACTCCCCCGGGGGTTCAGTCATCAAACACGTGGCAACAGGCTGTCTGTTTCAACACAGTGAGTAATCAAAGGAGATCTGCAGTTAATCCAAATATAACAGAGAAGTATCCAGGGGAAGGCCAGGAAGAGGAGAAACTAGAAGAAAGGTGAGGGGCGGACCAGCGCGTTCTGACCTGGAGTTCCATGTGTCACTGGGACAACTTTGGGGGCCAGGAGGGCTGACCCACCAGAGCCCTTGAGGCACCAACTACCCAGAGGCTTGGCTCTGCATTGACACAAACCAGACAGTGAATCCGGCACCTGCCTCTTCTGCTTGACCAGTGAGGTAAATTTTGGGAGGGAGTGAACTTACGTTTGCTGATTTGCTTGACAATTCTGAGTCCCAGACCTGTTTGAGGGGCGGGGGTCAGTCAGGTGGGGATGGACTTGTTACATCTGGAGGTGCTGGTTTGGTGGTGGTTCCACGTCGTCCTTCAGGGGACAGTTCCCAGTGTACGGCCACCAGGGTGCTTCTCAGAGTGTGGTCAGCACCTCCTGGGAACTTCTCAGAAATGGCGACTCGGAGGCCCTACCCCCACCCCACCAGACCTGTAAACGCTCAGAAACTCTGAAGAGAGGCCCAGCAGCGTGCGGATGAAGAGGCCCTTCAGGTGATGCCGATCTCTGCCGTTGCTCTAGTTTGAGAACCACTGGCTATTGTGATCACCTGGATGCCCCAGGTTCTTCTGCAGGCTTGCCTGGGAGTGAAGCCCTGGCCAGTTCCAGATCCTGGAGCAATTCTGGGCTGACCACACCCTGTCCTGGTCCCCTCACAGGGCTTTGGGGCTGTGGGGAAAGAAACTGAACATTTATTAAACACATCCTAGCCCTCAGTACCAGGCACTGGTAAATGTTTCATGTGTGATATTTTATTTAATCCTTTCTACAATTTGTGAGCTGGGTGTTGCAGATAGGATTTTATTGCTGACAAAATTGTGGCTCAGAAAAAGTCAGCTCGCCAGGGTCCAGACGTTTCCGGAGCCTATGCTCTTTTCACTGAACCCTACAGCACCTCTGACCCATGTGTCATCTGCCCACAGAACCGCCTTGGGTGCCACCTACACAAAGCTCATGCCAGCCTGGCAGGGCCGGCTCTCCCTTCCACCCTCCCCCACCCAGCCGGTTCCTTGCCTCATGTTAATTTCCCACCTGAGTACTGAGCACTTTATAAATAGCAAATCTAAAATGAATTTTCTACCAGCGATCATTAGCTCCCTTGACATCCATTAAACATTCTCGCAAGCAGAGTGAAGTGACAAAAGGGATTGATTTTTACAGTATGCTTAATAGGGGAAAGAAAGAAAGGTGTTGACAAGTCCTTTTTTTTTTTTTTTCTGTCCTGATATCACGAGGAATTTGCAATCAGTCAAATGACTTTTATCTGCAGAAAAGAAGGCTAGGTTTGGGGGCGAGAGGAGAGAGGGTGGAGGGTAGCAGCATCCCAGCTCAGCCCATTCCTGCATCCGTGACAGGTAAACATGCAGTTAGTTAGCTAGTGCCAACCACCAAGATGAATATGTCAGATTTAATGTTTCAAAATATATAGGGTCCAAGCCGGGGAGGGCGCGGGGCCTGGCGGGGGCTGGGAGCGAGTGGGGAGAGGGAAAATCAGCCATCTTCTGCTGAAACTATTGGAAGAATAAATGTGTTGATGCAATAGCTGGAGTTGGAGAAGGCTGGCATATGAGGCACTGTAGCTGAAAATTCAACTTTGATTTCAATTTTCATATTTGTCAGCAATAATTAGATTCACGAAATGTTTTGCCACTGTTCTAAAATACTAATAAGTAGGGGCCTTTGTAGTGTGGTTAATGGAGTCTTTTTTTCCTAGTGGGCTAGAAAAATTCCATTAAGGCGAAAAGTCATACTGTATTACAGCACTTCAACATCATGGACCTGGCTGCTGCAGTAACGTCATCCGAGACTGGAGCCCCTCTGTTTGAACCAGAGCCCTTGTCTGGGAAGGGGCTTGAGGCTTCATACGCCTCAGCTGTCCATCATTTTCGACCTGCGCAGACCTCCGTGGGCCACGGGGGAAGCCAGCCAGCCAGAGACAAAAAGAGAAGCAAATGCAATAAGGCGTCGTCGTCGAAAGGATGAGCCTTTATAAGCATCGCCTCCTGGAGCAGGTAGAAGAGAGGACAGGAGTAGAGGGTGGGCAGGGGGGCAACTGTCCCTGGCTGGGAAGTGTGGCTCCCGCCCGGGGAGAGGAAATCCGTTCTCTGTCCATCTTCAGACTGGACTCCCTCCTTGTGGTTTAATGCTGCAGCCCCACCAGTTCAGAACCTACGTACCTGTGTGTCCCTCTCCTCCCAGGCCCCATTCTGCTCAGCACAGGCTGGATTCTCTGGGCACAGGGTTTGATTAAAAGGTTCGAGGTCTAAGATTTTTGAGTGACTTTTCCCTGGGATGTCTCAACCTCTCTCTGATGTCCCAGGAAACTCCCTGCAGGAAGGATGTTTTGGGGGTAAATGTCTGCCCCTGCCTGGGTAAGAGTGTAATCCCCACATTCTCCAGAGAGTCTGACAGAGACGGAGGGTGGGGGACTGCAGCATCCTAGCCTCCGTTGTCCCCATCTCAGCACCACTCCCTTGCCATCACGCTGGGCCCACTCAGATGGCTGGCATCTCTCTGGGACTCCTGGGCAGACTGCGGCTACAGAGACAGCGGCCTCTTACCTGGTCTCTCGGAATCCAGTGAACTCAAGGACTCCGCTGTGATGCTCTTTAACTCTCCTCCCCCAAGTTCTGAAGAGAAGCCCCCAGCTGTCAGTCCTAAGGCCTCTGCCTCCACAGCAACAGAAGAAAGCAAGCCCAGTGGACGTGTGTGCTCTCCTCCACCGGCTCCCACACTCCCCCTCGCGAGAAACTATGCTTTGCTCGGCCCAGGAGTGGAGTGACTTGGGGCTGACGCACCTGAGCCGTGAATGGGAGATGGACGGAGGACTGTGTGCATGGCAGGGACCCGACCAGGACAGCAGCTCCGCCTGGATAAAGCACAGCTTGCTGGAGCCACTCATGGTGAAGGTAGGGTACATCCGTCTCGCGAATGCAGGGTCCCCCTCGCCGTCACCCTACCGGGATCCTGCTTTCCTGGGCCTTTGGCCCCGTGCGTGTCTCTCGTGAACGTTGAACAGGAGCCTGGGCTCCTTCCCCAAAGCCCACACACCTTCCTTGGCCCAGGCCTCTCCCCCCTCGCGTCCGCCGCCGCCTTGCTTCTCCCCAATGGCACGTGCTAGATCTTATCCCTGGGCAGCACTTCAAGATGAAAGGAGGAAGGGGTATTACATCCACCAGTGATACACGTGGCAATTGGGAGAGGCTTTTGTTGTGTCATTTCCTACTTCCTTCAGACTATTAAGCAAACAAAAGTGCTTGTGGAATGAGAAATGTAAATGGCCCATGCAAGCCGATTAATCCTAGATGTACAATTCCATTAATAAGGCCGCTTTTCAATAGGCGGCTCTGGCGGCAGCAGCAGCGGGCAGGCTAGGAATTGATGTATTCTCTGTAATTGTATTGCAACTAATAGGATATGAAGAAAATGGTACCAGAGAAGCAGGTCTTTCAACACCGTTTTCCAATCAGCTGAAATAATGACTTGCAGGGGAAAGCCTTGAAAAGTACCAACACGCAAAATATAACATCATCCAGGACTACCCATTATTCCAAATACTAGTTTAGGGTGCGTTCTTTCTTTCCTTCTCCTGACCTCTCTCCGTCTCCCTGTCTCTTCCACCACGGGTAATAACCTAAACCCAGTTCCCTGGCAGGTAGAGCTCCAGGGAGACCCGCCCACCCATGGCCCCAGCTCTCCCTGACGCAGGGATGCAGGGCAGGCTGGCTGGCTGAGACTGTTGTGCTAGCAGATTTGGGGGTCACGGTGGGGAGGGAGAGAGGCAGGGTGCTGCGTAAGGGAGGAGACCCTAGAAGGGACCCAGTCCTGGCTCTTAGACTAGTTAGTTGAGTAACTTTGGACCAGCCCCTTCACCCCTCTGGGTTGCCTTCCAGTTCCAAAATGCAGGGAATCTGAGTGCGTTTTCAGAGAGCAGGCTAGGAGGAAGCTGGCCTCCCAGCGTTCCAGGGAAGAGCAGAGCCGATGACTGTGCCCAGGACCTGAATGCCCGTGGCCCGGAGGCTCCGCGGGGCCCAGGTGTCTGCACTTGACGTGGCTTCTTCACAGGGCCCCGCCGTGCATTCTAGTCACGGATAAACTTGTTCATTACTCCTTCCTTCACGCTCTCATTCAACAAATATTGACGGGGCGCCTCTGACACGCCAGGTTCTGCTCTAGGTTCTGATCAGGCAGCGGTGAGTAAAGTGGGCCAAAACCCACCCCTGTCCTCACAGCACGTGTGGAGTCTGCAAGGATTTCGCTGAGCGCTCGCCGTGGGCTGCAGCAGGCCTGGGCCTCCTTGCTGGCTGAGGCCACCCCAGGATCCCAGGACAGGAACCAGAGCTCCTGGCCTCTGCTGTCCCTGCCTTTGCTGTGGGCACAGTGGAGCCAGGGCCCCCTGCCAGCCCCTCGCTCCCCTGCCTGCCTCTCCAGGTCACCGGGCCTCTCTCCTGCCCATTTGTATGCGGACTCTGACCCTCGCTTGGTCGCAGGCTGGAGAGTAAATACAAAAAGAAAAGGCAAAGCACATTTCGGCAGAAATCCCCAAGGAAACTGATGTGATTGCCGTACAGAAATGGTGCCAATAAGGGCAGAAAGGAATATTGCTTTTATAGCTTTGGGGACATAAAACATTTAGGAAACGTGATTGACGGGCAGGGTCTAATTTATCATTTATCTCATTCCCTCTGCTCCCTGGCTGTCTTCTCCCAACACACGGGCGGACATGTACAGGCAAACTTTTTTCCCTTTTCTGCTTTCCTTTCTTCTTCTCTCTCGGAGACTTGGATTTATCATCATTCTGTTAAGTGGGAGAACTCCTGTGGCTATTTATAATTAACGCTCAGAAACCTGCCAATCCATTTAATGACACTGGCAGGTCACGGCCCCCTTATAACTCTCCATTAATCATCACTAGAACAGCTCTGAGTTTCTACATTCTTTGTAAATGTTAATTCACCTCTGTAATGCTCCTTTTAGTTAAAACTGTAAAGAGGCAAGTGGCGGGTGCCTCGGTGCTGGCCCGCTGGGGAAAGGCGTGGAGGAGTTGATAAAGCCTGGTTGGCTTCTTCCGTGCTTTTGTCCTCCACCCCCTATCCCCAGCACCAGACGGCAACTCAGTTTGTTCTGTGGTTGCCTATGTTTATCGGTAGCAAAAGTGCCCAGTGACTTAAAGTTCTGGGCAAATAAACACACTCTGATGTCTTTGGACTCCCGGGGCCGAGGCAGCAACCTCTGAGGAGTTGCTCACCCAGGGTCCTGACATGGTTTGGTAGCTCCTAAAGGTGACAGGGCACAAAAGTGTCCAGAGGTAACTGGGGCTGAGAACTGCCCATGTGGCTTTTCCAACACTCACAAACACACAGCACATGAGCCACTAAAAGGGGTCGCATCACAGGAAGAATCCTCTCTGTGTCACGAGAGTTCGCCACCCGCCTTACTTTTGCCACTAATGGGCTCTGAGACTTTGGGCAAAACGTTTCACCTCCCTCCACGTCTACAAAACGGGGCCCATGTCTGTCCTGCCTAACAAATGAGGTTAAATCCACAGGGAGTAAATAGAGTTGAAATTGTACTAAACTTTTAAAACTGTGATATCGATGCAAAGTGTCAGGTCTTGCCCTTCCCCGCGTCCCCACACATGCATCCTGCCCTCTCACCCTGGGGTCATTCATACCCGCGTATGTGCTCTCAAACCTCCGTAGCCATTCCATTTATGTCTTCCTTCTCAAGCCAGAAAAGTGTATTTTAAATCATCAAAATCTCTGTAGCAGAAAGAATGTTAAATTGGGAAGGGTGGGAATCTAAATTTGAGTATCCACTCTGTTACTTATTAACTGTGCAACTCTGAGCAACTTCACCTCTCTGAGCCTCAGGTCTCTTATCTTTGGACTTCATGTTTATAAGGCCCCTTGACCTAGTAAAGCCTGTGATTTTCTTGCCAACCCCTAAGGGCCATGGCAGGGACTCAGGCCTAACAGGGACAAACTGGTCCCTTTGACCGTCTGAGCTCTTAAATTCTCCTTGTCTTGTGAAGCAACATGGCCTAGAGTTTAGAACTCTTAACAAAAGAAAACACAGGTAGATGAGGAGAATAGAAAGTGTGTATTTAATTCATTTTTGACTCTGGTTTCTCTTGATACCACGCACCTATGTGCGAGGCATTTGGAAGCTCAAACCATGGGCTTGACCTTATTTTCAAGGTGACCTCAAATCCAGAGGTTGAGCTGAGATGACCCCTTAGGACCTGTGGGGTACCAGGCACCTGATCCTTTTTGATGCTTCTCCATAGTAGGTTCACCTCATTTCATGCATGAGTAAACTGAGGCTCAAAGAGGTAGTGTGGTAGTTCAAGGTTCATGTAGCTTGTACATTGCAGGGTCACAGGTCAAACCCAGACCTCTTGAATTTAAGTCCAGCTTTTTTTCTGGTTTTTTGATACCGCTTCATCCTGTCTCCCTCCCCCCACCTTGATGAATGATGATTAGGTGATACACCTTGGATGAAATATAGACATAATCTAGCAGCTGCTCCTGTACTGACATGCACTGTAACTAGTGACCTTTGACTTGGGCTAAAAGCTTCCCTTCCTGGGTTCCTTCCTCGGTGTGCTTACCTTCACGTGGGCATTACGGTGTGGAAGTGAGCTTCCGTGGGGTCTTCTACAGGGAAGCCCCCCATGCTTGGTGTTCCCCTCTGTGTGGTCCCAAGGCCCATCCTTATAGGGACTGCCATGCCTCCCCTCCCCTCCACAAGCATCACTGACACTCCAAGAAGACACCAGTCCCCAGGCTGGGCTTTGGCCATCTGTTCTGCCCATCACTTGACAATGCAGTAAAACCTGCCTGACAATCATGTCTGCACAAAGGGCAGAGAGGGCTGCACAGCAAAAAGCTGTGTAAAATTCCTTCCTGCAAAGGCTGCATCAAGAATACTCAGGCCAGAAAGAGCTCTAACAGCAAGCGGGGTATTGTGTCATCTCCCTCCTTCTCATTTCACTCCTTTGCTTTATTAATGGATTTGTGTCAGTTCCTACTTGGTACAAGTTAATAATAATAAGGCCTTACGGTGGTGCAGTGCTGTACACGTTTGAAAAGGCTTTCACAAATCTGTTGTCTCTTGAAATCTCCATGGCTGTAGTTGGATTTTAGAACTAAAGGCCTTAGAAAACACTTACCTCAACTCTCTCAGCTGATTATTATTGATGTATCTAGTTTAGTTTAAGTAATGTATCCTTATTAAATATAATTTGGACACATACAAAAATAGCTTTAAAAAGATTTAAAGTCACTCACGCACAATTACATTTAATGTATTTTCTTCCCATTTTTCCCTTATTCTCTGCCATAGTTTTTATTATATAGCTGTAATCATATTTATATCTCATTTTTTCTTTTAAGACTAGATCAGAGGCAATTTTCCATGTGGTTATTTAGTATTAGGGAACATGATTTTAATTGGTTTCATTACATTGTATCAAGTAGATGTACAGTACCATTACCCTATGCGTGGACTTTTATGTTGCTCTAATTGGGGGCTGTTATAAATAATGTTCCAGCGAGCATCTCCATGAATATAGCCTTATTGCAGTTTTAGGATTGTTTCCTTAGACCAGATCACTAGAAATCCCACTGCCACCAATTCTCTTAATACCCTCAGGGAAACTGAGGCAGAGGGAGATGAAGTGAGTCCAGATCCCGTGGACTGTCAGAAGAGCAGCACTTAGGCCGCAAGTCAGGTCTTTTGCCTCCTGGTTTCACAGTTGTTCCATTCAATGGCAGTCTTTAGAATTTCTAAATAAAAGGGCTTGAAAATGTCTTGGGTGTCCACAGAAAAATAATTTTATTTTTAATATAAAATAAAATATTGTGGTTGAGAAAAAACACAATAGGAGCTACCGTGAATTCTGAAG